TCTATGTGATTCTATTTATGTACAAATTGCATGCATAAGGCAACCTACGGTGTTGATTGAGGTTTCTGGTTCTTTGTGGAATTGGGAAATCCTAGAAGAGTCTAGGATATGCGTATGTGCTGTGTTTTGTAGGTCATGTTTTATCTATGGTTGGATGAATTAGAGGTATCATGTATGGCCTTGGGGAAGGTACAGGTAGGTGTGGAAGGTAGTATTGGGCCTGTACTACTGAAAGCACAGGACTTGTACCCAAAAAAAGGACATACCTGGAAGCTCCAAGGAGTCCGGTGGGGAGGAATCCCTTCCAACTTCCTTATCGTTTGCTTTCTATGTTGTATTTTCAGTTAAGCATGGTGATGGCTACACAAGGAGGTTTAGGTTTAGGATCAGGTTCATGATCGGGTTCAGGCTCTGGTGCAAAACCAATTGATGAGAGGTTGTGCGAGCTTATCGCAGCTGAGGTTACTCGTGGCATCCTTAATGCTACCCCGATGATTTTCTGTTTCGTCAAGGATGGGATCATGGAGATTTTAGAGGAGCGGATCAGGTCTTTTCGAGCTGAGATTGTTGCGGGTTAGATTGGGACTCGAACTCCCACATTTCGCGAGTTCAAGGCATGCGGAGCGCCTGAGTTCTTTGGGGTTAAGGACCCCATCGCTAGTCGCCGCTGGATTGCTGACATGGGGAATGCTCAGCGCAATGGCTTTTGCCCCGAGGCGGAAAAATATGGGATTCACGTCCTGTATGTTGAGGGATCGGGCGCGAGACTAGTGGGAGGAGGTTACCCGTGAGGTTGGGACGACGGGTGTGACTTTGATGACATGGGAAGAGTTTGTGCGGAGGTTTGATCGGGAGTTTTCACTGGCCATTGAGGTGCAGTAGCCGGTGAGGGAGTTCCAGGACCTTCACCAGACAACGGAGTCCGTGGCGGAGATTACCGCCAAGTTCAGAGAGAGGGCACTACTGGTCCCACAGTACGCTGCGGATGAGGAGACGAGGAAGACGAGATATCATGATATGTTGAGGGATGATATCCGGGAGTTTGTGAGCTTTTCAGGGTGCAAGACCCTGAATAACATGATTGAGAAAGCCCGTGAGCGGGAAATCGATTTGGAGCTCCGGACAAAGCGGAGGCCGGAGCAGGTTCAGACGGCAGTGGGTTAGGCTAAAAAGCCTAAGACCTCCGCTCGTCTTAGTAGAGGCCAGCAGGGTCAGTGTCGTTGTTCCAAGTGCGGCAAGTCGCACAGTGGAGCCTGTTGAGTAGCTGGATCGGTATGTTATGGTTGTGGCTAGCTAGGCCACATGAGCAGGGAGTACCCCAAGAAGGGCTTGATTTGTTTCCACTGCAACCAGATCGGCCATAAAAAGGCCGATTGTCCGGGATTTTTTGGTGGGGGAGCGGTGGCGCCTGCGCCAGCCACCTTGAGGATTACTGATGGCCGACAGGGCAAGGCGGAGGCTCCTGCGGTGAAGAGTATAGCGTTCCAGTTAACCGCTGATAAGGCCCGTGTAGAGCCGGACGTCGTTACTGGGACCTTTTTGGTCAATGGATTGTCGACTCATGTTCTTTTTTATTCGGGGGCTACCCGTTCCTTTGTATCTCTTGCGCTTAACAAGATGTTTCGAGATGCTCCAACGACTTTGGATTCCCCTCTTGAGGTGGAGATTGTAGATGACCATATTGTGAGTGATGCGATGGTGTTCCGAAGATGTGTTTTGAACATGTTCAACGAGAGGTTTCCGATCGACTTGGTAACGATTCCGTTGAGGGGATTGAAAGTAATCATCAGGATGGATTGGTTGTGACCCAATGGAGCTGTGATTGATTGTGAGCGGCAATTGGTGAGGGTTCGAATCCCAAGTGGAGGAGAACTGGTCATTCATGGTGAGAGAGTCTCGCATGGGCCAACTCTCTATTCAGCTGCGAGGGCTAGGAGGCTTCTCCAGCAGGGTTGTTCCGGGTTTTTTTGCTTACGTTTTGGATTTACGGGTTGAGACCGTAGCAGAGTTGAGCAGGGTACCCATCGTACGAGATTTTCCCAATGTCTTTCTAGAGGAGTTGTTGGGAGTGCCTCTCGAGAGGCAGATTGAGTTCCGGATTGATTTGATTCCTGGCTCGGCTCCTATCGCCAAGGCATCGTATCGCCTAGCACCGCCTGAGATGTAGGAGTTGTCTACGCAGCTGCAGGAGCTGCTAGACAAGGGTTTTATTCGCCCGAGCAGTTCCCCGTGGGGAGCACCGATTATGTTTGTGAAAAAGAAGGATGGGTCTCACAGGATGTGTATCGATTATCGGGAATTAAACAAGCTGTCAGTAAAGAACCGTTACCCGCTTCTGAGGATTGGCGAATTATTTGGTCAGCTTCAGGGTGCATCTTGGTTCTCCAAGATTGATCTCCGGTCAGGGTACCACCATATAAGAATCAGGATGAGGATGTTTAGAATACGGCGTCCATAACTCGTTATGGTCATTGCGAGTTCGTGGTGATGCCTTTCAGGCTCACCAATGCGCCAACAACGTTCATGGATCTCATGAACCAGGTTTGCAGGCTGATGCTGGACCGGTCCGCACTTGTTTTCATTGATGATATTCTGGTCTACTCCAAGACCAAGGAACAGCATAAGCAACATTTGCGAGAGGTGTTGGACACGTTGAGGAGGGAAAGGCTTTATGCCAAATTCTCCAAATGCGAGTTTTGGTTGCGTGAGGTGCAGTTTGTGGGGCACATCATCAATCTGGGTGGTATATTGTGTAACATCCCAAAATTAGAGACCAAAATTTTCGTTTTTAATTAAGTTATTATAAAACCATAAGTAATAAAACATCCATAATAACATCTCATGTCAAAAACCAAAGTAGAAATAATCAAAACATGTTATCATAAAACAATATCAGAGTGTAATTCCCAAGATCTCATGTGCGGAAATATAGTGTGATGCGCTGCGATCGAGCCGTCTCCTTTCCTTTGAAAATGAAGTACCTGAAACCAAAACTGAAAACCGTAAGCACAAAGCTTAGTGAGTTCCCCCACCATACCACATACCATACAGTAACATACATAGCAAAGCATATCTGAGTGTCGACTTCCCCTTCGGTCTATTTCAACCGGATAACTGCCTAGCATATCTGGGTGCTGGCCTCCCCTTCGGTCTCTTTCAACTGGATAACTGCCTACCATATCTGGGTGCTGGCCTCCCCTTCGGTCTCTTTCAACCGGATAACTGCCTAGCATATATGGGTGCTGGCCTACCCGTTCGGTATCTTTCAACCGGTAACCGGGGACTATTTCACCCCTACCACTACCACATAATACCATAGCATAGCATACATAAATATATTGTCAGACATATCTGGGTGCCCGACCTACCCCTTCGGTATCTGTCAACCGGTATCCGAGGACTATTTCACCCCCCACCACTACCACATAATAACATAACATACTAGCACATAAAGCATACAGATAGTGGCATACCAGATAATTATCACAAAGACAATCATCTCACAAACAACTCCTACTAGTGGGTCGACATTGTGACCTTAAACCCACTTCTACTGGAAGGTAACTCACCTCACACTGTTGAAGTCCCGCAGACCCAACCCTAGCTGCTAGATGACAGGTTCCTGAACTGTCAACATCAAAATAACACCCAATTAATAATTGGGTTCCAATACATAACCATAAGTCCATGCTTGGGGGTAAAAGACTACTTTGCCCCTAACTTGGCTTGATTCAAGCCCAAGGCCCAAACCAAAGGCCCAAAAGTCCAACTATGGCTCAAGGCCCAACATATGGCCAAATTTTCCAAATTGGGCCCAAACCTTCACATGGTCTCATTCTAAGGCCCAACCATTTATTCCAGTCCAACAATTGACATTCTAATGGCCTAATATCATATAGCCATTAAGGCCCAAACTATGGCCCATCTATGGCCCAATTTTCCAAATTAGGCCCAAATCCCTCACATGGGCCTTACCCTAAAGCCCATTAAATTATTCTAGTCCATTTGCTTGTTCTTGGATAGCTCATTAATAACCCAATTACCAAAGCCCAATAGAAAGGCCCAACTCAAGGCCCAATTAAAAATTAGGGTTTCTTACATGAAATAATGATTAGGGTTAAGTGTTCCTACTTAATCCATCAAGTCCAATATTGCTTTAGGTTTATTGCAAATGATTATTAATTAATATATTAAGTTTAGTGAATAATTCAAGTGCGGGTCCCGATCAAATTCCCAAAATTAGGGTTTCACATAAAATGACAACTAGGGTTAAGTGTTTCTCACTTAACCCATTAAGGACTTAATCCATTAAGTCCATCACTATTCTAAATAAATCATATGGTGTGATTGGGCTTTATACACAATTCTCATTCCAATGGCCCAAATGTGGGTCCCGATAAGTCCAAGGCCCATAAATCCAATGTTAGGGTTTTCTAAACCCTAATTAGGGTTTCCACCGAATCATAGCCCAATAGGCCCAAAACTAAATCTTTAAGCCCATTACGGTTTCAACAGGTCAATTATGGTTTTGCTAGTCGGGCACCACCCACTACCACCTCGGGTAGTGGTGGTCAACGGCGGCTCACGGCGGCGGCCACCACCTCACGGTGGTGGTTAGGGTTTCTAGTCCAATTGAGTCCAAGCACTCTAAAAGCAATCCAAGCACAACTAAGCACACTGCCACCCAACCCGGCGACAGGTAGCGGTAAGAGGCGGCAGCCACCACCTCACGGTGGTGGTTATAGTTTTCTATTATTATTTTGGGCACCACTTACAATTTACAACTCAATAACACACACACACACACTAATATAAACATACACACACAGCCACCCTTGTGATGGCTGGTGGTGGTACATGGTGGCAGCCACCACCTCACGGTGGTGGTGGTGGCCTCTTATCTTTTCCAGCCACACAAAACCCACACACACTCGCTTCATACTACACTCTATCAGAGAATAAACACGCACCCACCAATATATGCCCACAGCCACCCACACATGGTGGTCAGAGTTGGCAGGAAAAACAAAGTGGCGGCTGCCACCACAAGCCACGGTGACAACAGTGGCTACAACGTTGGTTTCTCCGACGATCTCTACTTCGTCCATGTCTTCGCCGGTGTCGGAATCACCGGTGGGTCAAGCAGCAGTGGGGAGATGGCGGAACAGAAGAGCACGATGAGGGTGGCGGTTTCACCGGAAATAGCGACAGCGATGCCCCAGGGTGAGTTTATTCCGATCTCTCGCTGCCACGACGTCAAATGGAGGTCTCCGTCTTCAATGGGGTGGCACAGCGGCGGCTCGGTGGTAGGAGAAGCAAGAGGGTGGCGGTCGACCATAGAGGGAAGGAAAGGTGGCGACTGCTCAAATATTTAGGGTTAGGGTTGATGCCCGGTGATGCTGGGGTTATATACCCTGTCACACCCCCAAACCAAGGATGGCTGAAATGTCCGGGGGTGGCGGACTTCATGTATATTATCATAACAACGAGTATAATAGTGACCAAAGCAAATACAACCATCATAACATAAATGAGAAAGTTACACCATAGTATGAGTTTACATATTCCAAAATCATTTACACTATGATGACAAAATGAACTGTTTGATGCCTTAGCGTCCCATCCTCAAAAGTTGCGGTTTACCTATTTTACCGATTTCCTGAGAATACAAGTAGTTTTGAAAAAGTGTCAACAATTAAGTTGGTGAGTTCATAAGCTTTTGGATGTAGAATTTGAAAACCCTGGTTACTACCAGTATGTATAGTAGTTTCTGTTTGAAATAAAACCGAGTATTGTATCCCGAGTTTGAAAACCTTTGTTTGTAAATGTAATGTATACTTCAAGGAAATCCAATGTTTTCCTTATAAAATGCTATGTAGTCTTAAATCCCAAGACTGAATGTATGCGTGTGAGTTGTACTTGTAACGTGTTTGTAGTTCTAATGAATACCCAAGAAAATCCAATAATTTCCTTATAAAATGTTATGTAGTCTTAAATCCCAAGACCGAGTGTAAGAGTATGTTTTGTACTTGTAACGTGTTTGTATGCAGTTTCAAAATAAGTAAAACCCCTTTTTAAAGTAGAAATTCCCGTAAACTATATGTGTCGTTATCTCCCTATGTGAGTCGCTATAACCATACTATAACAGAGATGCCTGTTGCGACGTTCTTCAGGCGTCGGAATCGAAATGACATTTGTCACCCCCGATCGGCCGATCGGGCTTACGCAAGCAACATGGGTGTGGGTTGTCAATCCCAATATAGATCTATACACAATTATCACGGTCTCCCTACAAGAGACTCTGGTTATAACTATTCAGGAATTTTAACCCGTACTCTAAGAGTACAATGAAGACGAGTCTAACAATTTACGATAACTAGTTTACGTGTAGTGTGCGAGTAAAACCTTTTCTGTAGTGAAATTGAAACCCCTTTTTGTGCGGTATGTTTGAAATGTGAACTCCCTAAACTATACCCTTTACAGTTTATTGTGTAGTAAATGAAAAACCCATTTGTATTGAGAGTAAAACCCTTTTCATGTAATATGCTTGTATGGTAAAATCCACAAACTATAATTATTATAGTTTATTGTACTTATTAGAAGCGCATGAAAACCCTTATAATGAATGTCTAATTTCTGTTTATGATGTTAGACTAACAAGAAATACATTTAAAATTTAGCAACTTATTGTTATACACTTTGCTCAACATGCTACAAAGTGTTGTTAATATTGTAAGTTATGTAACTAGATTTTTAACTTTTCTGCACTGTCCTAGAAAAATCATACGAAGTCGAAAACTGAATCCGTAAACTCTAAGAGTTTATAAAATGTGTCTAGTTTATTCATAATTTTTATTGTGATTTTTAGAAGTCTCTAACTTGTGTGAAAATGTTCATATTCACAGACTGGTCCGAATCCGTTTCTGAAATGATAGGCAGTTTTTTAAAAATACCATAAATTGTACAAAAATCGTATGGAGATGTGCAAGTAGTCATTAGAAAGGTATAAACCTGAACTACTTGCATATTAAACAGTTTTGAAAGATATTAAGTTTAAGATGGTCAAAACAGTCCGTGGATAGGACTCAACTTTTCTGATGGAAGCTGATGTTTGAGTTTAGTTAAGTTTTTGGTGTATTAACTTGTATTCCCCCCCCCCCCCCCCCCCCCCCTAAAACTTGAAGAAAAACATGAAAATGTAGGGGTATGAACTCACCTTGAGTGATTTCCTTAGGTGAATGCTGAAGAAATGGGGTTTCCAAGTCAAGAATACTTGGTAAAAGCTTGGAGAGTTGAAGATCTAGGAACAAATATGGCGATATTTGTTATGAGAGATCCATAATTTTGAGTGAAGGTGTGCAGAATGTTCAAATGTAGGATGAGAATACTTACTAAATGTGAGTGAAAAGCTCAATATCAGCCTTGGAGTCTCGAGTTGTTAGAGAGAGAAAGTGAGAGAGAGGTGTTTGCTTTTTGGTGAGAGAGTGAGTAAAGTGGGTGGAGATATGAGGGTTTTCCAGCTTTTGATCAAAATCTCTTGTTGGAGGGGAGTGTGAGAGGACAAATAATTGACTAGGTAGGGAGGAATATCGATTGGAGGTTGTCATAAGTGGGTATGGTGGATAGCTTGTGTCATACTTTACGAAAAGTCAACACTCCACATCCATATCTTACACAATAGATATTGTTCTTAAGTTAAGATTTCCCCCAAAATGTGATTAAAATATGAATATATAGGGTTTTAAAAGCCAAATATATGAGTTTGGGTGAAAATCCCGTGTTAAAATCATGAAAAACGAGCTTAAAACTCGAAGATGATCGAAAACCGGGAGATGAGGAGCGAACCTGCGAGGGTTCCGGAGTCAATATGCCAATTCCGGAGCCAATGTGCAAATTCCGAAGTGATACTCTAAGTTCCGGAGTGGGCCAGCAGCTTCCGGAGCGGATCTGAGGCTTCCGAGAAGCGAGGTTGTCCGGGGCGAAGTCCTCCCATCGCATGCGATATGGTCCGAAGCAAGGTATTCCGGAGCTACATTCCGGAGTGAAGAAGTTCCGAAACTGAGGGAGGTCCGAAGATGCGAAATTGTCCGGTTCTTAAGAGGGTTCCGGACCAAGAGGGTTCCGGATCAAGAGGATTCCGGACCTAGAGGGTCCTTTTGGGTTTTCTCCTTCGGTTTTGGGCTGTTTTCGACTAAGGAAGGTACATAGAGAGATTTCACATACTTGGAGAGATTTGGGAGAGACTTCATATCCTTGGAGAGATTTGGGAGAGATTTCATATTCTTGGAGAGATTTGGGAGAGATTTCATATCCTTGGAGAGATTTGGGAGAGATTTCATATTCTTGGAGAGATTTGGGAGAGATTTCATATTCTTGGAGAGATTTCATATTCTTGGAGAGATTTGGGAGAGATTTCATATTCTTGGAGAGATTTGGGAGATATTTCATATCCTTGGAGAGATTTGGGAGAGATTTCATATTCTTGGAGAGATTTGGGAGAGATTTCATACACTTGGAGAGATTTGGGGAGAGAGATAGATACAATGGGAGAGATTGAGAGAGGCTTTGTCGGGGGCCTTTCTTAATGTTTTTCTTCGTAGTTCAATGACCGTAGACTTAGTTACATCCCATTTTGAGTGTTATACACCCCCGAAGGGCACGTAATAGTGTTTTATAGAGTTGTTAGCTCCCTCAATCTGATTAGGGTTTAGAATTTTGAGCATTTGAAATTTTCAAGTGTTACTTTGCATTAAGATTTAGAGTCATACATTAGTAAACATAAAGTAATCCCTAACATAATAGCACTAGTTGAGTTGACCAGTTTGACTTGTTGACTTTCTTTGACTTTGACTTGACCAGAAAATAACGGTCGTCACATACCCGGAGTTACAAACTTCATCCCATAACGACATATATAGTCCCTCCCTTCGGAAATATTTTCGAAATAAGCCCCATATTTACCCTTTAAGCCCATTCTTCATAAAAACTTTACAATTTAAGTCCGTAAATTACCTTTTTAACCCTGCCTCATGAAATCCTTTACAATTAAGTCCAACAGTTACCTAACATCCCCTCCTCAACAAATCCTTTTCAAATTTGATCCAGAATTTACTCTTTAGCCCTCAGCATTCCAAATTCTTTCCAATTTAAGTCCAATGATCAAACTTCAGCCATGTTAACATTTTTAGTCCCTCCTCCTCTCATTCTTTTCAACTTAAGTTCCAATAATTACCACGGAGCCCCTGTCTTCATAAATATTTACAACGTAAATCCGGATTTCACACTTTTAACCCCCAACTTCTAATATAGTAGCAATTAACTCCTCGATACCAACACCTTTCCATATAATTATTTATTTTAGGGCTACTATTCATTCATTAATTTGTTTATTTATTTAGTAATATAAACGGGGTGTTACAATTTGTTTATTTATTTAGTAATATAAACGGGGTGTTACAACTCTCCCCTACTTAAATTAGATTTCGTCCTCGAAATCATTCCTTACCATTCCTACACGCCTAACCATTATAGTAACATGGTCACCATCCTGGGCACCCCCTAGCCTTGCCAGGGTAGCCGTGACCAATCTTCGTAAAGCCCTTAAATCCGTAGGTGCATGAATTCCTCGCAACGAGATCACATCTACTCCGTCTGAAATTTGCTGTCTTGAGATGGTCTGATTCCCTGACAGACCACTCATATTGAATCATTATTGTTGAACCCAGACCACTTACCCCTCGACTGCCTATTCAACTTCTGATAACTCGACGGTCCCCTATAAAACTGAAATCACATGCCCAATTATCCCTGCAGGTCATTTAGCATAACCCACGCAATCTGTTATTTCGTCCGAACTTGCAACCTAAAACATAAACACTACTACTGTCAATCGCTGAAACTGTCCGAACATTGAATTACCTGAAGCAGTATGCTGCCACATGGCTGCTTTCCAAAATCTACCGAGACCTTCCGCGTCTCCAACCGATCGGGTCCATGCGTCGAATCCTGATGTCACCAAATCAAAGGCTAAAAGTGATTGCTACCTGGCCAATGGTAGCCTTATATCACAAACGACCTTATATGGTCCATTGCTTCCCTGATCTCATAACTGTAGTGGCGTCCCTACAGTCTTATCACTGGCTTCACCAGATCTAATCCATCTGTGAAATTTCAAAATCCAATCCTTGGATTCCCATATCCTCACTGCTGCACCCAAACTGGTGGGTACTACTGTTCCTTCTATGGTCTAATAACGCTCTCATGCTATCTACCAACCTAGTGAATGCTACGGCTACACCCGTACTCTTACAACACTCTAGCACTATCTGCCAACCTTGTGAATGCTGCGGCTACACCCGTAGTCTTACAACACTCA